TTCTTTCCATGTGGCTGTCATCTTAATCAGCTCCCCCACCCCCAGTCAACCTCCATGACATCACCTGGTTTGAGTTTCTTCATCGTATCTATCGCCATCTAGAACAACTGCTGTCATTTATTTGTTACTTGCCACTTTGTCTCTCTTCACCAGGACATAAGCTCCGTGAAAACCAGAAAGTTTTTGGTGCCATCCACCATTCTATGCCCAGTGCCTAGACCAATGTTTAGATATAGAAGGTTCTAAATAAACAAAGAAGCCCACTCCAAAGAGCAGTCAATCAAGTTGTGAAGGCAAAGCTTGCAGAACAGAGAATAACCCAGAGTACTCTATCATTAACTACTAATTGTATGTTACGGACAATACGTCACTATTATCAGGGCCGCCAGACTGAGGCAGCAGCCAAGTGAAAATATGAAACTCTGTAACAATCTGCAGCTTCTAGAGCAAAAAAAAAAAATGGGGGCTTCTTGAGAACTATTTTTAAAAACCTAGAGAGAATGCCTGAGAAAGTAAGATGGGGACAATGTTGCCTACAGTACAGAGTTTTAAAAAATCGGCTCATCGCTTTTAATTCTGATTGTTGGCATGTTTCCAATTTCTTTCCGTGCCTAAGGGTTTAAGACTGTTCAATTCTGCACAGGAGCCTAATGATTAATGCCTTATCAGAGAAACGTCCTGGTCCATTCAGGCTGGTCCCCTTGGCTGTGACACCCCCCCGTGGAGAGGACATCACGACAGCCCCCTGGAGGCCATGAGCACTGGACAGGGAAGATGACAGACCCCGCTCCCTGTTGGTCTTCAATTAAATTACATAGCCTTTCTATTCAGAATGTGGCCCTTGGATCCGAAGCTTTGGTGTCTGAAAGCTTGTTAGACATGCAGAATCCCGGGCCCTGCCCAGGTACCCTGAGTCAGAATCTCCATGTGAACAAGTTCCCAGGTGACACATGGGCACAGTAAATTCTGGAACGTGCTTCTCTATAGGAAAAAAAATACGCCAGCAACTGTCTTCATCACAGATCACGGCTAAGCCAAAACAAAACCACAAAACCACTCAATGATCCAAAATCCAGAAAACTCAAGGTGAAAGGCAGTGTGGACCCACCAGGAAGGAAATCCAACCAGGGCTAACATCTGCCCTGGTGGGTTCGCCTTAGACCAGTGGCCTGGCTTCACTTAGGCCTTGACCCCACCTTCATTCTGTCCATTACCCTTCCTCCCTGGATCTTCCCGTGTGCTGTCGGCAGGCAAAACAGCATGCAGCCATTCACAGCATATCTCAGTAGGCACAGGAATTCTCCTGGCTCTGCCACTTACTGGTTCTGTGACCATATGCAAGTTATTTAAGCTCTCTGAAGCTTGATTTCCTGATCTTTCTTATGGGGAGGGTGAGACTGCAGCAATACATATGTCTGAGGATTAAGTGAGAAAAGCTATGTAACATTTTCAGCAAAGTGCCTGGCTCGAAGCAAGTGCTCAGAAAAATGGTAACTGTTTGGCAACATTGTCGGTAGTCGCTTCCTCCCTCAACCTATAGATTCAGTTTACTCTGGACTCACTGCATCAGAGCCTAGGGACGTGAGCCTTTAATTAAATCCTCACACATATGTTTAGGAAAGCTCAGTTTCCTTTCGAAGACTCTGCTTGTGATGCCACCAGACTCATTTTCAGCCGCACCCTCATCGGGCCCGCCTGCCTGAGACAGCCAGGGAACAGCTGTCTCCTCCATTCCCTCTCTCTGCTCACTACAGGGTACGCGTGGAGCAGGCCCTCAGCAAACGTTTGTTGAATGAATTAATTAATCATTTAAAGAAAATAGCTATATGCTGTAATTGCTTTGCTACTAGAGTGCTAACTTGGTCGTCGTAAATGTGCATAAAAAGAGCCAAAAGAGCCTCTGGAGCTGGTTTCAGCCCTAGGGTTGTAAAACATAAAGCATTATAGAAACGCACGTCATTACTCTTCATTGGATTCTGACGCTGTATCCTTAACCTAATCAGGTTTTTATGCCACGGATCACAATTATGCAAGTTAGCCTACAAACTGCACCAGCACCGGGTGCACAGGATGGCTCTCCGCTGGCCGCGCTCACGGGCCGCGCTCGGGAGGTTGCCTGCCGATCCGGCCGCTGTGTTTGGTTCAGCCTTAGCAGAAGCCTGCTCCTGACCCTGGGGGCGGGCCAGCCCAGTGTGTCCTGGGCTCCCTCCCCCCACAAATAAATTGATGGGAAGTGGCACACATGGCATCCTGTGCAGTAGAAACACAATGCCACGGAAGGGTTTTTCTTCCCTCAACTCTGATCTGACTTATAACTTCTCAGAGCTAGAGGGTCGACTTTGGGGAAACCCTCCCAGCTTGTGTCTCGGAAGAACAGGAAGCTATTCCTCTTAGCTTTCCCCACGGGAAAGGAGCAACTGGCTGGAAACAAAGCAATGCAAAAAACCCACAACAACAGTGGATTTGGGGCAAGCAGGTACAGCAGAAAGGAAGAGCTTGCTTATTGCCAACTGTCAACCAAGGTAACCCCGGTGGCAGGCACCACGGGCAGTGGCAAGACAATGCAACGGCCAAGGTCAGGCCCAAAGTGACAAGGAGAGTGACGCTGGGAAAGGAAAGAAAGACCCAAGGAAATCCACTCCTGAATGGAGTATGAAATAAAATAAAAAAGGAAAGAAAATGTACTGTGCTTAGTATGTC